TTTTCATGATTAATTACAGTTACTGATGTCATTAACTTTATAAGACTAATTAAGAATGTCGTGGCAAGTACTTAATTACTCACATGTAAACTCAAATATGACATCAAAATTATTGACTAAACATAAAGTCAATTATCAACTCTTTATAGTTTGGAAAACTAGAATATGCATAGAAAATAAAAAATGCATAAGAATCCTAAATAAATTTGTACAATAGTAATTTAAAAAAAAAAAAAAAAAAAACGAGAAGTAATAAATTTAGAATATCAAAATAGACTACCAAAATTCATCAAGTCCAGCGGTTAGCAGGTTTGACTTTCATCCGAATGACTTGTGTTCGAATTTCCATAATGGAATGTCATCTTCTAAAAAAATATGACCACTTAAGTGCATCCAGCCCAGACACAGATAAAAAAAGGTTTTTATCAATCAAATGACAAATACATCAATTGAACCATCATAATTTTTTTTTTTTTCAAACTAGTAAACAACATGTCGTTTTCAAGACTTGAAGAAAAACGTGTCATCTTCGGCTCCAACCACCTTCAACCTTCGGTCGGGTCTGCAACCAGATACCCGACCCAAAAACGACTCACTTCAAACCCAAAACTACAAATTGCAATATCTTAGTCATTTTGACTCGGTTTTTTAAGATCCAAAAACCATTTTTCTCATAATTTCACAAGGTATTTAATTCTCTAATATTGTTTTTACCAACAAAAAAAAATCCCCAAACATAAGCATGGAATAATCAGAAGTGATATATTGGAATTATGCAACTTTATTGCACATCAACACGGGTTATGCAAAAGCTAATCACAGATTCGTAATTACACACAAAACCAGTAGAATATTTTAACACTTAATTCCAAATTGAAAACCAGAACCCAAATTAATATATTGGCTTTATTAAAAATAAAAGAAATAACTTATAAAAATTACAGTGAAATATGTTGTATGTTTAAACAAAAAATTACCCATACACAATCAATAGTAAATAAATAATAATAATAAGAACAAAAAATCAAGGAAACTCGAGTAAAGAAACTAGATAGATCTTATCAAAATAAATTATTATATAAAATTAAATTAAATAGAAAATAAAATATAGAGATTGTCATGAATAAATGTGGATGCCCCTTGCAATTCTGTAACTTCCTAATCTTTCATTTTCTCTAACTCTTGAAACTTTCAAGTTCTACCACTTCAAAGCATTTTATTAGTTTTTAATTTCATTTATAATATTTCATAATCTTGAGACGGTAAATATATGTATTGTGAAAGATGATGTACACACTCAACTTTGGAATAGAAAAGCGTTGGTTCTATTTCCTTGAATCATCTTCTCTCTTCTCTTAGTTTATTTTATAATACATTATCAACATGATTCTCGCATCAACCATATTAGATTTTTAAATTGTCAACTTGTCAAGGCAAGTTTCAAGCTTTTGTCCCTAATCAAATTTGGAGTTGGAGTTTTCCAGTTTTCCAAGTAAATTCATTTTTGCTTGCATCTCAATATGCTTTATAAATATGTTGAAATGTTTAATCATTTTTATAGTATAAAATATATGAAAGTGTTTTAATTTGGAACGTTTTGGTTTCATTATTTACAAAACTTTATATAGTGATAGATTTATAATTTGATTAATATGAAAAGACATACATATATTTGTAAATATTTGCTTTTATGATTTATGTTTTCAAGCGATTAAATTCTATAACTGCAATAAATTTTAGGTGCATTATTATTCTAAATTCTTATTTGTGATAATATTTTCATTTAATTAGAGATTGTCTAATTTATTAAATATTTCTTTTATATTATTCGTCATGACAAATCTTATGGAACTTGAATTTGTGGCTCTTGATATTGCGAGCAAGAATTATTTGTCATGGATTCTTGATGCTGAAATTCACTTAGATGCTATGGGTGTTGGTAACACCATCAAAGAAGGAAAAAAATAATCCAATGAAAATAAGGCTAAAACCATAATTTTCCTTCGACACCATCTCCACAAAGGATTGGAAACTGAATACCTTACAGTAAAAGATCCACTTACTCTTTGGGAAAATTTAAAGGAAAGATATGACTACTAGAAAACTGTGATTCTTCCTAGAGCTACTTATGATGCATTTATGTTTACAAGATTTCAAATTAGCAATTGAATATAACTCCGCAGTATTCAGAATTAGTCCTCAACTGAAATTATGTGGAGAAAATATTACTCGTGAAGATATATAAGAGAAAACATTCTCTACTTTTCATGCATCAAATGTGCTCCTACAGCAACAATATACAGAAAAGGGTTTTCAAAAATATTTTGAACTAATTTCATGCCTTCTTGTGGCTAAACAAAATAACGAGCTATTAATGAAAAATCATGAAGCTCGCCCAACAGTTTCTATTCCATTCCTTGAAGTGAATGTGACAATATTTGATAATCATGGGTGAGGGCGAGGTCATTGCTGTGGTGGTGGCCGTGGTCATGGCGATGGTCGTGGTCGTGGTCAAAGTCATAATAATCACAATTGTGGTGGTTATAACAATAACTCTTCTAATTATAAAAGCCACCAAAAGTGGAAGAATAATGAAGAGAAAAAGGAAAAGGGAAAAAGTGGACAACATAAAAATTTGAAGAATACATAAAATTTGTGATATCGATGTGGCATGAAAGGACATTGGTCACGTACTTTTTGTATGCCTAAACATCTTATTGAACTTTATCAAGCATCGTTGAAAGAAAAAGAGAAAAACTTGAAAGCAAATTTTGCCTACCAAAATGAAAATAGAAAAGCAAATTTTGCTTATCAAGATGATAATTTTGATCATGGACCTGTTGATACAACACATCTAGATGTTGCAGATTGCTTCAAAAATCTTGAAGGGAGAATTGATCATTTCATTGGGGATGGAAATGCCCAAAATTATTAAAGTCTTGTTTTTGTGTTTATTGTTTATTTTAGAGTGTTTTACTTTCAATATGTTTAAGTGTGAGTGTTTTGCTTCTAATATGTTTAAGTGTGATTTTCAATTTTGGATAAATTACTTTGTAATATGCCTTACGATGTATTTTGTTTTTTAATAAAGAAAAATGGACATTCCCATGTCTACGATTGGATCCAAGATCAATAATGAAAATCTTTGTCTCGCAGACAGTGCTACAACGCACACTACACTTAAAGAAAAAAAAAAAAAAAAACTATTTTTCTTCTTTGATAATGTGTGAAGCTAATATAAATACAATATCTGGTAGTACAAGATTATTTTAAGGCTCTAGAAAAGCAAATATATTATTTCTCGGAGGAACACAAATTATTATAGAAGGTGCATTATTTTCTTCTAAGTCTAATAGAAACTTATTGACTTTTAAAGATATTCACTATAATGGATATCATATTGACACAACCAATGAAGGAAATATTGAATATCTTTACATTACAAGAATAATTGTAGGCAAGAAATGTGTGCTGGAAAAATTACCTATTTTTTCTTTCGGATTGCTTTATACAAATATTAATGTAATTTAAACACATGTTATAGTGAATCAAAAGTTTACTAATCATAATACTTTGTTGCTTGGCATGACCGATTAGGCCATCCCAGTTCAATAATGATGTGAACAATCATTGAGAATTCACATGCATTAGGAAAAGGCTGAGTAATTAGTAGGTTGGGTTAAAATGTAAGAAATAGAAACTTGGCTCAATATGGTGTGTTTTTGTACTCAACTGTTTTATATAAACAGAGTCTTTTTTGTACTGAAATCAGTTAATGAAACAGATTCTCATTTCAGCTCAACTAAATTTTCTCTCAAATTCTTCATTATGTTTAATTTTTCTTTCAAATCTGCTAAAGAATCTTCATGGTATTAGAGCTGTCGACAGACGTCCATGGTTAATCTGAGTTATGGATCCTTGAATTCTAGTTCAAAGATAGTAAACGAGCAAGCTAATAGTGCAAAAGCAATGAGTTCAGTTGCTCATTCTTCTCTTCCAACTCTGTCAATCCAGCTAGGAAAGAGAAACTACAACTACTGGACATCTCAAGTTCTACCTGCATTGACTTCATATGAGCTTGATGGCTTTGTCACAGGTGTGAATGTTTGCCTTTCCATGTTTTTAAATGAGCAAATGCTAGACTTTGAGCAAATAATCAAGAAACCTAACCCTAAGTATTTTGATTGGAAAAATACTGATTAGTTTCTAGAAAGTTGGTTAATTTCATCTATTTCCGAATCTATGTTTAGGCATGTTGCTAAATGCACAAGTGCGTATGAAATTTGGAATACTTTGGAGTTGTATTTTCAATCATTCTTAAAGGCTAGAACTTTACATTTGAGAAATTTGTTGCAAAATACTAAGAAAGAATCTATAAGTGTTAATGAGTGTATTCTAAGGATGAGAGAGTTACGAGATGAGCTGAGTTCAAACCAGAGATGAGGAATTGCTACTATACATCCTGGATAATTTAGGTCCAAAATTTGATACTATGGTGACTAATCTTGTAGCCAACAGCAGTACTGCCACTCTTCAAAAAGCTCAGTTGCTTCTTCACAAACATGAGATGAGAATTGAGAAACAGAATAGTGCTTTATCAAGTTTTCACAAAATGACTTCTACACTAGGGGTGGGATAATCTAGTTAACGGAACCGGTTTGGGTAAACCGTTAACTGAACTAGTTATTCGGTTTAGACAAAAAGCTAAACCAAAACAGGACCGGTTTAGGGTATAAACCGAATGTAAACCGAACCAAATATTTGATTTGGTTAACTGGTTTTCAAACCGATTTTCCAATTCCACCCTAAATTGTACATTTTTTACATTTCAATACCAATAGCATTCAATTATTTATTATTTTATATATAATTTCATGCTATAATTTTATGTTATTTGGGTATTGTTGTTGTATACTTGTATTCTTTGTGTAATAAACACATTAGATTACCTATTTTTAAATGCTGAATCTAGAATATGAAAAAGTATTCAATTATACATTGCTCAATACTCATCAATAAAAACATTGGTATAATTAAAAAGTGAAAATATTTGCGAACAAAAAAAGTCTTCTTCAACCATCTTAAAAGTTAAAACACCAAACTTCAGATCTCCAAACTTCTTCAACCTGCTACAATGCTAGTGAATAAGGACAACAATTCAGGCCTTCATGGTAAAGTAACAATTTGCATGTGCAGTAAACTTGTAGTTAGCAACTCTCCAAAATATAGAAATTCAAAGCAAAAGATGGTCCACCAAAAAATTAATTAACTCTCACAAATATGGATGCAACCTTTAACTTCTTAATATATTATTAACAAGTCCAACCTCAAAGTTTAAGCCCTTAGTAAAATGTTACCTATCATATGACTAGCCTTGTCAAAATCATAGACTTCATTAGTGTGGGACACTTAACATACATGACATAGAAAATGAACACAAAATAATTTACATTTTAAAAGATAGAATACAAAACACATTGTTTCCTCTTCTTTTCTTTTGCTAGACAAACAATTAATTAAAGTATGTCACACAAATTTAAATTTTAAACTGAAAAGTAAACATATAATCAATGGTTTAGAGGAAAAGATTCATTGAGCTTCTTGAAGATTTAGCCAAATTACAAGAAAATATACAAATGATCACTAGCCAGTCATAAATAAACATCAAGGGCTATTAGAAAGAATGAGTGAAAATATAGTGTCTCAAAAATACCTTCTTCAAGGTCTGGCAAACTTCTGAAAAATCACCAGGCGCTATCTTTTTCGTTGAAGCAAGCTTGGTTAGCTCTACAATAGCCTCCTTCCATTCCAATCACTTGGTGGCTTTCTAAAATGAAATATAAATTATTACAACAAAATACGCATGACAAACATTGTGATCTATAGTCATAAAACACAAAGACAGAGCACTTACCACTCCTTCCCAAAACCAGATTTCTCTAAAGGCGTCAATTTGTGTCAACAAGATCAATAAGTTCATATTCATCTATTTCCTGAGGAGCTGGCAAAAAAGGAAAATATATGAGGCACTAGGAAACATTGTTAAACAATAACAAAATGGCATACACTGAGGGATTAGTCTACATATTTCTTTTTTAACAATGAACAAAAAAGAAACATTGTTAAAAAAAAAAATAAGAAGGAAGAATTGAAACAGGGCCTCAACAACAGACTCTTGGAGAGCACCAGCCACTAGGACCCAGATTTTCAGCTTACCTTGCTGAACTAACGTGAAGCAGCTGAGGACCCAGATTTTTAATTGTGGTCGTGTCGTGGTGGTGGTCATTGGGTGGTTGTCACCATTCATCGTTCGTGCCTCGTGGGTGGGTGGTTGTCGTCATTCGTCGTTTGTGGGTGGGTGGTTGTCACCGTTCGTCGTTCGTGGAGCCGTGGTCATGCCATCGTGGTGGTCACTAGGTGGTTGTCGACGTTAGCCGATCAGAAAGGATAACGCTCTAATGGTGATGAGAAAGCTTTGCTGATGGCTTTGGTGGTGGGTGGCGCTTGGCAATGCGATGGAGTGACTATAGATCTGGAGTTTTTGCAAAACAAATTTTACTAAAAATCTTTTTCCTTATATACCTAAGGTTATTGAAAACTTAAAATCGGTTTTAAAAACCGATTTCGGTTAACCGGTTTGGGAATACTCTCAAACCAAAATCGATCCAGTGTTTTGGTTTTTTCAATTTGCCTAAACCGAAACCGAACCAGTTTACAAAAAAAACCAGATTTTCGGCTCGGTTTCGAACCAGTTTTTCGGTTCGTTTTTGGATTTTTTTGTCCCACCCCTATTCTACACTACTAGCTACAAAACAACAAGTCTCGACTGACACCACTGGTGTGCCACAATTTCAAAGTCTTGTGGTATCACAATTTCAAAATACCAATTCTAGAGGAGTCACATTTTAGAGTCCTGGTCCTTCATCTATGGTTCAGATAATTAGATTTTAGAATACCAGTTCTTCACCTATGGTTCAGTCAGACATGATGAGTTATCAACATCATGAAGTGTATCCTTAATAGCCTTCTAATGTAGCTATGTACACTATTGTGTTTCCTCACCTTGCCATTACTCAATATTCTGCTCCTAGTGGATTTCAATTCAACAACAATAATGGAATGAGAGGCAAAGGTCGAGACAGAGGATATTTCAGGCCTAGGTTGGTCTGCCAAGTGTGTGGCAAGACTGGTCACTCAGCCCGACAATGTTATCATCGTTTTGACCATGATTTCCTAAACTCAAATCACAACAATTTCAATACTTCTCAAGTTCAACCAGCATCCCTTCCATCTTCAGTTAATAATGGTCAATCATACTCAGGTATTACACATGAACCTGCTGCTCAAGCTCAAGCTCTTTTTATAGCAAACTTTCCACCACCAAAGCACCATCTTCACTCTGATGAGGGATTCCAGACTTTTTGGCTGTTGGTGTGTCCAAAAATCCTTCACCAAACTACATTTATCCAAACTCCCAACCACACCTACTTGAACATTTCTCACCAGTCCATGATACCAACATGACGTCCCCCAACAACTCACCCTTGATGTCTGCCCCCTTTGCACCTATATCATCAACTGCCATGTCTCAAGATGTTGCTACACCACAAACTCTTATAGATCAGTCTTGGTATATGGACTCTGGTGCATCAAATCATATGATGGTAAATGCTGCTAATATGGCTATGAAGTCAAGTTATCAAGGAGGATCTCAAGTACAAGTTGGCAATGGTCAGTCTATTCCGATCACTCACACAGGTATGTTATTATTACCTTCTGCTGATTCTAATAGAATTTTACAACTTCACAATATTTTGTGTGTTTCACGCATTGCTAAAAATCTATTGAGCATATCTCAAATTACTAAGGATAACCATGTGATAGTTGAGTTTCATGCTCATCACTGTTTGATAAAGGATAAACACAGCAAAGCTATTATTCTTCAAGGGACAGTGAAGGATGGTCTCTATCAACTTACCTTGCCAATGATCGATTTCTCTTCTGCTAGTTCTCAAATAAAGTCTACTTTTCATGCTTCAAGCTTCACTTCAACTCCTAAATTTCACGTAGTTAGTTCACCTATAGCTAATAAAGCGGACTCCTCAAATAATGTTCTAAGGTCTATTTTTTAGTGTACTTCTACTAATAAGTCACTGTTTGTTATGCCTTGCCAACGATCGATTTCTCTATCAACTTACCTTGCCAACAATCGATTTCTCTTCTGCTGGTTCTCAAATAAAGTCTACTTTTCATGCTTCAAGCTTCACTTCAACTCCTAAATTTCACGTAGTTAGTTCACCTACAGCTAATAAAGCGGACTCCTCAAATAATTTCTAAGGTTTATTTTTTAGTGTACTTCTACTAATAAGTCACTGTTTGTTGTGCCATCTAGCAATATTTCTATGGCATGCTAGATTATGCCACCCTCATACTAAGGTTTTAAATAATGTACTTGAAAAGCTGCATGTAAAAAATACTACTATTGGAAATAAAAATGTGTTCTATGAAGCATGTCAATTTGGTAAACTACAGCAGTGCAAGTTTCCTATTTCCACTTCAAGAGCTCAAAAACCTTTAAAGTTAGTTTATTATGATCAGTGGGGTCCTGCTCCTATTGTGTCCATTGAAAGGTATAGGTATTATGTGATATTTGTGGATGACTTTAGTAGATATACTTGGATCTATCCTTTAAAGCTTAAATCTGAACTTCTTGGTGTTTTTACTTAGTTTCACTATTTTGTTGAAAAACAATTGGATGCAAAACTGAAATTCTTACAAACAGTTTGGGAGGGGAGTTTAGACCCTTTACTAGTTATTTAGAAAAACATGGAGTTATGTTTAGGCATCCTTGTCTGTACCTTCACCAGCAAAATGGTAGAGTAGAAAGAAAACATAGAGTCATTACTAAATTTGGCCTATCCCTTCTAGCTCATGCAACTATGCCTCTGAAATTCTAGCGATCAGCGTTTAGCACAACTGTGTATTTACTTAATAGACTCCCTTCGGTTGCTATGAGTTTGTATTTCCCTTTGAAACTCTTTTTAAACATTCACCAACCTATACTGATCTTAAAGTGTTTGGCTGTAAGTGTTTGGCTGTGGGTGTTATCCATATCTCAGGCCTTACCAGAAGCATAAGTTGTCTTTCCACATTGAAAAATATGTTTTCTTAGGTTACAGCCTTGCTCATAAAGGTTATAGATGTATGAGATCTTCAAGCAGGGTGTATATTATTAAATAAGTATGGTTTAATGTAGTGAATTTTCCATTCAAATCTGATGTCTAGAATGAATTATCTTCTAATCTCTTACTTGATGTTTGTGAGAATTCTAAGTCCTAGATATTGCCACAACCTTTATCATCATACAAATCTCCAGTTTGAGCTTCTAAACCCTTCACAAATGCAGCCACAAATCCAGTAAATCCCACTGTAGATTGCCCTTTATCTCCTCCCCAAGTAGAATCTGCTTCACAAGTAGAACCCACTATTGTCAGTCTTGGGAATTACAATATTAGTACCAACCTGCCTACTCTTGAAGATGACTCAGGAGTGTCTACTTCAACACATCCAAATTCTAGAATTCAACTTGAGGTTGTCCTTCCCATATCTCCTCTTAAATGTATTGCCACAAGTAAAACTGAGAATATCCATCCAATGATAACTAAGTCCAAGGGATCTAAGGGTTGTGTCTCAAATAATATACCTCAGGCTCTTCTCTCCACACAAACTATTTTGTCTGAACTACCATCTGTTACTGAAGCCTTAAATACTCTAGAGTGGAAGGCAACTATGGAGGCTAAATATCAAGCCCTTTTAAAGAATCAAACCTAGGAACTAATCTCTTATGCTGATGGGATGAATGTAGTTAGTAGCAAGTGGGTATTCAAAAGTAAATTGAATTCAGATGGTTCCCTCTCCAAGTACAGAGCTTGGCTAGTTGCCAAGGGGTTTCAACAAACCCCTGGTATTGACTACTTAGAGACATTTTCACTAGCAGTCAAGGTAGCCACCATCAGAGTTATCTTGTCTCTCGCCGTGAATAATCAATGGGAAGTGCAACAATTAGATGTAAATAATGCATTCCTTAATGGAGAGTTGACAGAAAAAGTGTTTATGATGCCACTAGAAGGTTTTTCTGATTTTTCTCAAACGAGGCAGGTTTGTCAATTACATAAGGCCTTGTATGGGCTCAAACAAGCTCCAAGACCTTGGTTTGAGAAGCTAAAAAATGCTCTGTTGAGCTGGGTTTCCAGAATTCAATCTCTGATGTAAGTTTATTCTTTTACAAAAAGGAGTATTGTGTAGAGTATCTACTTGTATGTAGATGATATCTTAGTTACAAGGAACAATTCACCCTTAGTTGATCAAGTAGTGATAGATCTGAATACTCAATTTGATTTAAAGATTCTTGGTCCTATCAACTATTTTCTTGGGTTTGAGGTTAAGAGAAATAACAAGGGATTACTCTTAACACAAAGCAAATATGCTCAAGACCTCTTAATAAGAGTTGGTATGTATTATTCTAAGCCTTATGTTACTCCTATGGCCACTGGAACTAAGTTGAGCAAAGAAGATAGTGATTCACTTGATCAACCATCATTATACCGAAGCATCATTGGAGGGTTGCAATACCTTTCACTGTCCAGAGCCAATCTTGCCTTTGCTGTGAACAAACTCAGTCAATTTCTTTAGTAGCCTACAGTCAATCATTGGACAGCATGCAAGAGAGTTCTTTGGTATGTAAAGGGCACTCTAATTCATGGTCTTTTATTTACTAAAAAGGAGCATTTTATGTTAGAAGCATATGCTGATGCAGATTAGGCAAGTGATGTCAATGATAAGAGGTCCACAAGTGGCTATGCTGTGTTTGTTGGAGGAAATCTGGTTCAGTGGAGTTCAAAGAAACAAAAGGTAGTTTCTTTGTCATCTACAGAAGCAGAATATCAGTTCTTGAGTCAGGCATCTATAGAACTTGTGTGGATTAGAAACCTATTTGAAGAAATTGGCATTACTTTGAATGGTTGTCTTGTCATCTGGTGTGACAACATGAGTGCTAAAGCATTGTCTTCAAACCCTATTTTTCATGCTAGAACCAAGCACATTAAGATTGATGTGCACTATGTGAGGGATCGTGTAATAAAGAAAACGACACGACTCGTCCCGACCCCCCTTATCCCATAGGCTCCGGGCCGGCACCCATGAGACTCAGGTGATCGAGACGTGCCATGTGAGAAAACTATAAAACCTGTTATAAATAAATATCATAAAAATGTAACGTCATTTGCATATAAACAATGCAATTGGAATTTTCACAAAATGAAATTTATGGTATCAGATTTTTCCATATCTTTAATAATCCAAACAAGAATAAATACATGATGAAAGAAACATAAACTTTGCAGCGGCAAACAAAAAACAACTATAGAATCTATGTGAAATGAAGTCGTGTGGCCCAACCTTAAGTGAAATTCACTCCTCTGCACGATCACCTTCTAGACCTGGGGGGGGGGGGGGGGGGGAAGAAAAACATTTGAAAACGAGGGTGAGCTAGAATGCTCAGTGGAGTGGGGAATGGGTTAGTATGTAATAAAACATTTCAATATACAATAAAAACACTCATGCTTATAAAATTTCATTTCCGTATACACATTTATAATATAAGCCATCTTTCATAACACATGCTGAAATCTCTCATGGCAAGACTTCTTTCTGAACACTATTATGATAAACGAATAAATACTCATGTTTCTCTAAAACATCATTTCTAAGAAACAGTTCATATACGATAACATTTACATTTATAAGTTCCCATTTCAAATAAATGATATACATATCCAAACTATCTCCTCACATGTGAAAACTCTCACCCAACTAGTACCCTGGGGAAAATCTGTCATACATGGTGGGCGTCCCACACGCAGGCAGAGCGAGGGACATACCTGTCATACCCGGCAAGATCTATCATCGCGTGGGGCGAGTCACTGAAACTGTCATACCTGGCGGACCACTCAACGCCCAGGCAGAGCCAATAAATCTGTCATACCTGGCGGACCACTCAACGCCCAGGCAGAGCCAATAAAATCTGTATACCTGGCGGACCACTCAACGCCCGGCAGAGCCAATAAAATTGTCATACCCAGCAAGATCTATCATCGCACGGGCAGAGCCACTGAAACTGTCCACCTGGCGGACACTCAACGCCAAGGCAGAGAATAAAATCTGTCATATCTGGCGGACCACTCAACGCCCAGGCAGAGCCAATAAAATCTATATACCCGACAAAATCTATCATCGCACGGGCAGAGCCACTGAAACTGTCATACCTGGCGGACCACTCAACGCCCAGGCAGAGCCAATAAAATCGTCATACCTGGCGGAATCCTGCATCGCTCAGGCAGAGCCAAAATCGTATTTGGGGGATGGGTACTTCGTTGGTGGTTTTAGCACCACCAGCATACTCATGCATAGTCTCAAGTAACATGAAGTCATAGCAATTTCGTATGTGCTATAAATCAACATATATGACATAATATTCAAAGTCACATATAAGGGTGAAACTACAATTTTCTAAACATGTTTCAGAAACTGAGGTTTAGATTGAAAATTATTACTAACCTCACAAATCGAGTCTTTTCTTAACATTTTAACAGCCAAAATGCCTTAACTCCAGCATTTTAAACACCATGGAAATCAATTTTCTCAAGGACAGCCAACTGGAAGCATACAAGTGTATTTAACCAACCAACTTTTAGTCCAACTACATAACTCAGCACCTCTCAAAATGCAATCCAGCCGAGTGCATACAACCCAAAATATCTAGCCACCATCTCAGTTTATTGAAACAGCCCATTATGCAAGTTAATTAGCAAGCAATTCCCTTTAAAACTCAAAACAACCACTCTAGAATTTGTCCGAAAAATGCAAAGAAGAATAAACAAGCAAGCTTCACATTTTGCTCAAACCTCACCAAAATATATAAAAATGGCATACTAGAAATATCATACAAGCATAGATCTAAAATTTTTAAGGAAAGTTTATTAAAAACACTCACCGTTGAAGCTCGACCTTAAGCCGAAAAAATGACTGAAATCTTCTAATAATGCCCCCGCTTGCCTCTATGTACAAAATTCAATAAATCCTCCATACATAAGTCCCATAAGTAACGCCCAATATTAAAATCATTGGACACTTCACACACCAAAAGATAACAAACTTCTGCTTTAACAAAACTGTCTATAATCAAAAATCGGTCGCTCTCAGATTTTTCTTAGAATTCTATTTATCATTTTTAAGCCATAATTTTAACAGAGCGTTCTAGAGACACATAAGTTGTTC